GCTACTGCAAGACTGGGTGGGCTCGAACCCTAGCCTCATGCTTGCGGATGAACCGATTGAGGTAGTAGACAAATTTGTTTACCTGGGCAGCTGTATCAGTCCCGGTGGTCTGGCGACAGATGATATCTCCATCCGGATTGGGAGGGCCAGTGCAGCTTTTGCGAGCCTACATCACCTGTAGCGTAGGCGTGACCTCATCATCGGTGAACGAAACTGCGGCAGCTACAACCACTGTACGACGAGTACGCGGTTCTTACAGCTGACAGTGGTGATGATGATGAGATGTTCAGTCCAATGCTATTTCGTAGGTAACTTCGCGTGGTGTATGTCTATGAATCGGCGCATGCGCAGTTCGACTACCACTACATCTCATATACTTGCATTTGGTAAACCCGTAGAAATCTTGCAGTGTCTTTATTATTTTTTCCACCGTTCGACTGATTCGTCCGATAGCGCTTCTCCGTTTATTTTATGCAATGTAATGTGCACAATGTTTTATAGCTATCGACAGACGGGTTAAGGTGGAACGTGTCAGCCCTTCTCCTGAGTCTTTGAGGCTCGAGTTTTTACGGAAAAGTTGTCCGTAGGTTGCAGTTGTTGCACACAGCCGAAATAGAGATGCATGGCGTTCCGAAGTTGGGAGTGCCGTTATCCGGAGGAGAGAAGAAATGGTGTACAGGTAATCAGGTAGTTGTATATATGCTCTGGACTGGTAGTATTGAACGTGGTGCATAAACCATAGTGGGATGGAGGGCAGGTTTGTGTGGGGATTTCACCAGCAATGGGGATTGTGGTTTGTTGTTCAAACTGATAGCATTTAGGTCGTATTGGTGTTGTGGGGCCCCAACCGGCCTTAGTTGTTTTACCCATAGGGCCAGTAGTTAGCTCCAGTCCCAGCTGCCTCAGGGATTTGTCGCAGGATGACATTACACTGAGTGTCGGTATTATTTTCCATGTTGGCATTTAGCGTGAACACTGAAGGTCTTCAGAGTGTTATTTTATCCAAGTCACATCTAACGCTTGACCACGCGGTAGACTGGTGTTGCTTTTGCTGTCCCCGCTGATTTACCGCCGCACATACGTGCTTGCATGCGTGCTTCATTCCTCTCAGTCCATCTGTTCACTTAGCATGGCTATGATCAAATTCTTTGTTCCGTTATTAACCTATCGCAGTTCAGCATCACTTTATTGAATAGTATCTGTTGTATGGACGTTCAGTTACTGAACGATTGCAGTAAGTCGCTTCGTGTCAAACGTATTTTTTCTAAATCCGACCGTGGGAATCAGATTAGAGGAAAGATTACAGGAACTTGATGTGCACATAGATGTACTTATTGGCTTTGGGATTTGATGGTTAGTCATCAGGCCCTGAATCTGATCATTTGTCACGCTCTATTATTTTGTAAACTTAGTGCTCAGTACTGGTATGTTGATCTTAGGTCCTCTGCAATGCTATGTAGTAGTATAGGCATTTGTGCTGGGATTGATCGAGAAAACGGGGTACACTCAATACTACTGAAAGGCATTTGACAAAAATATCCTGCACTTGGCGGTGCATCCTCTTCTTTAAACAGAGCTGTTCACTGTATCCTGTGCTACCATGCGGGCGGTGTTAGTTTTTTGACACCGTCAATCGGTTCACGTACAGCATCCGGAAGCTTGTGAGGTGAATAGGTTTTCGGTTTCATCTGCTAGTTGATTTCATGTGCTACTTTCGGGGTTTTTTCTACCAAATTCTTGACAAATCCTAAATCTTACGTGGTATAGCCTCTACAGGCCTTGTGGCTTCCCTTTCCACTGCTGTCAGTCCTTGTTGGTATTGATTTTCCATGCCTTGCGGCCAAAAGTTCTGAGGTACAACAGGCTGTTTCGGGCTCCAACTTATTTAGAATTCATTTTCTGAACAATTAAAGTCGATCATTGCATTGGGTTCTAGTGAGTGTGTGAAGGAAAAGCGACACAAATCAAATACGTGATCAGGAATGAACACGTGTGTGGCACAGTACTTCCTAACGCAACATCGTAAACGGTGACCCGATTCAGCCTGATAAGTGGTGACTTCTGGTGACATTAGGATCTTGGGGAACAAAATTGGCTTGCATGGTTTGATTGGTGCTCTTCCGTTATAATTCGGTCTAGACGATCCTATCTCTTTATTACGACCACTACATTATCATGATCGAATTGGCCTTGAGTTTTCAAAGTTGTAAGAGGTAGCGCGTGCTGCACATTGGATTAACTACGGCACTCACCTGACTTTTTTTTATTTCGGCTAATGTACTTTTCCCTACCATCCACCTATTTGGCTAGACTTGTTTTCGACACAACAAATTGCTTCCAACCCTGTATTATGATCGATAATGCCTCATCACATTTACTTCACAGTCAGAGCTCAAGATAGCTCGGTGTTTAATTTCCGTCGTTCGAACCTAACATCGATATCTCAACTGCTCCTGTTTAGGCATGGACAGCGTGGCAGTATCTCAAACCTCGTGCTTTCTTCGTGTAGCATCCCGAAGGGTGTTGTAGCTGAACAGTTTGACAATGAGCTTGATCCCATGTTTGACCAATTTTCCAGTTATAAACTATGTACCATAAATTCATTGGTTCCAGCTGCTACAGGTTCTGTCACCAGGAAGTGGGAGGTACGAACATTAGTTGTGATTGTGCGTTCAGTTTGGGTCCGGGTTGCTACGCTTTGAAAGCACTACGTCTGATGCACGAGCGCCACTGACTGCGCAATTACATCATTTTCGCCAGTGTCACTAACCATTGGTGAGTTGAGTTGCCAGATCCTCATTCACGGAGGCGACACTTATCGGCTCGACTTAGTTTATCGGTTAGTGTTTTCATACCTCCTTGCCAGGTCATACGCCCTCCACCTCTCGGTCGCTTTCATTCAGCACAGGGTTGGGTAAAAAGGGCTCTACGTTGCAGACGGTACCCTGACACGCGAAGTACGTCTTCTAATCAGCGTAAGCGTGAGTATCCCATCCATCGCAAAAGAGTTCCATTTTCCAAATAAATCGTCTGACAACTTGACATTGCTATACCGATATTCTTACAAAACCCGACCAGTACTCCCGAGGCACCGATGACCAACCACTGGCAGTTTTCATGTTCTTTGCACGTAAAACCTAGGTATTTGATCCACAAAACAGTGTGGATCGCACTACCGTGGTGTAACTCTGTCATTGACAGAAAAACTGGCGTTCCCTCAGCACCATAGACGTCAGAGGTTGACAAATGCTTCTCTGCCCCCTCCCCCCCCCGATTCGGCAAGTAATCTCATCTCCAGGCAGCCCACCAGAAATTACGCCACTACCCAGGCAAGGAAGTTTATCTACTACGTCGATTAGCTCATGTACAAGTGTGAGGTTTGGGTTTAGTCCCACCCATTGTTGTAGCAGCGCTTTTGCAAGTGCGAAGCACACGCCAAACCGTGTGACAGAATTACTTAGGTTGTTTACCAAGCCCGTCTGAGACAATTACTTGGGTTTTCATAAAGGAAACTACTCACAATACCAAGCCCGAGACAATTACTTGGGTTTTCATAAAGGAAACTACTCACAAGGTTGCTGAATACTCTTCGACAGCCCACGGCCGGTTTCGTTCGCCTTGGGGCTCATCAGGTAGGCACAGTCGCCTAGTTTCCGTCACCCTTATGATCTACTTGAACCCTATTTGGACTGTTTTCGAGAAATACACTCATTTGCAAATCAATTTGG